GATTGAGTTGTCTGCTGGTAGTTGTTGGGGCTTGACAGGCCCAATCTGCTCTTCATAGGCTTTCAACATCTGCTGGATGTAGTTGCCTGGTTGGGTCCATAATCCATCAACTTTAAGTTTGTACTTTTTCTTCAGAAAAATGAACTCATCTCCACTCCTCTGGTGTCGAATTAGCCATGAATCTTTGGAAGAAAGACTTCATTGATGTGCTTTGAGTCTCCTGTGAAAAGCAAGCCATCCACATAGATCAAAATTATACCCTTCTCATTTCTTCCTAGGCGTGGGCGCTCAGCACTGAACTTGTAGTTGAGTTCCTCTGCGAGGTACTTTGTGAAAAAGTGAAACCATGCTTTTGCTCTTTGTCCAGGTAGATTCCTCTTCACTAGGAATTCTTCTCCTCTCAAGAACACTTTTAATGGTTTCTCTTGTGGAACTTGTGGAAATGCATCTTTTTCCATCAAGACATCCTCGCATCTGTGAGAACGCTCCTTCTCCCTCGCTTGCCTCATCTTCTTTGCTGATTCTCTGGAATATTGCGGGTAGAAGCTTCAGTACATGTCCTGAAGTCGCTGGTGAGGAAAAAAGGCAAGTCTCGTTCCTTAAGCGAAAGCATATTCTCTTGCAACTAGTCCTGATCTTCTCTTCCACCTCTTGACTGAAATCCCATCTCGAAGGTGATATGGTTTCTTCCTCCCGTCATACACATTGCGTGTTGTCAAGTATTTGGTTCCTTTTCTGCTACCCTCTAATTTCTCTAGCACCTGCATCTTCTGGAGTCTTTTCTCTTCCACTTCATCAGCTGCTCTGTCAATCCATTCTTCTGGATCTCCTTCAGGTTCATGTTCTCCATCACGCCACAAGCATTCAGGTCCATTGATCTTCATCTTCCCACTCTTCTTCACCAACTTCTTCTGCAATGGTGGATAATTCTTCATCTACGCGGTAAGGATCTTCTCCTCCAACTTTCACAATGTTGATCTTGGCCTTCTTGCTTGAATCAGTTGATGCCACACCTTTGCCTTTCTGGCCTTTGCCTTTGCCTTTGCCTTTACCCTCATGATCACCTTCTTTTCCTTTCTAATCTCCTGTTCCTTTCTTTCCTTTGCCCTTGGCATCTTTACCTTGTTCTCACCCTTTCCTTTGGCATCTTGGACTCGATCAACGTCCATTGGCATAGGCCCTTGATATTCTGTATTGCTACTAGCCACCATGGAAGTAGCCCGCTTCTGTTGAGATCGATCCCATTGCAATACATGTTCCCTCAAAGTTGAGTATTGAACATTGTCACCAATTGTCAAGTTCAAGTGGGACTTGAGTTGTCCACCTACACATCTCAAAAGATTTCAACTCTTCCTGAATTGTAGTCCCTGCCTTGGCAGTCTCATCAAATACCTCTTCAAGCTTCAAGAGTTGAGGTGAAAATGCTGGCCATGTAGTGGCTGCTCCCAAGAGCGCCAAGCCTCTTGCCTTTCAAGTTTGCTTAAACGCTTCATTCAAACTTTTCCAGGCATCAAAGTCTTCCACAGTTTTCACCAGTTGCAGTGCCCTTCCTCTCATCAGTGAAGCTAACAATCCATAGAGCTTGTTGCGTCTTTCTAGTCTTTTCTGCCTCAGTTGCCAAGTCCACGTCAAATTTGTCATCTGGCTTCTCGTGAATTTCCTTTAAGTCCTTCATGTAGCCCTCATCAACTGCGCTCAGGTCACGTCGCGAAAGGTAGCCCCCCAAGGGATACCTTGAGTTTGTCTTGCGAAGCAAGTGTGGACTCCTCCGGATCCAATAATTCATAGTTCAATTCAACCCCCCCAACCCCCACCCTTGGAATTGAGTTTTCAATAATCTCCCCCGCGGAATTCATTTTTCAATACACCTCCCCCTCCCCCCTTACCGCTTCATCCCGAAGTGGATTACCTCAATTGTTATTTGGCGTTGAGCGCTCTAAGCTTGGGGTAGTGTTGAGTCCATGAAGAGACATGACACCGGGGTTTGCCAGATGTTGTTTTTAGTCCCTCTTGTCGTTGAGGATTATCGTATAACAATATACATATATATATATATATATGTATCACACTTTGGTCTTTTTCCCCCACTCTCAAGTTGACGTTTGATTCGACTCCACCAACAACACCACACTGCATATTTTACATGTTTCTATTCTCCTCCCGCTGTCCTGCCTTTCGTGTATCCCTCTTCTCAAGTCCTTCTCAAAGACCCATGACCACTCTCTGAATGCCTTGACCTCTTCTTCTTGTGACTTATAGTCAAAGATGTTTGGCTTTGCTATCAATGTTGACCAATCTGTGGTTGATGACTTTTTGTCCTCAACTGCTTTCTTCACTGCCTCAGCTGCTGATGTTGTTGCCAGCGTACCCTGCGCTATTGTTGGAAGGAATTTCTCTGATCTCCTACATCTTCTCCTTGTACTAGTGTCTCTTTGGCACAATGTACTGGGCACAGAGTGTTGCTCACAACAATTATTCACCAGTCCAGCTGTTTGGGCTCCAAAGGCCCCGAATCTATGGCTCACAACCGCACCCGGGATCCCAATGACGTAGGGGTTTTTCAATCAGAGCTCCAGAGGGTTACCTCCTTCTCAGCTCCTACCATACGCACCCTTTTTGATCCTCAAAAGAGCTTCAGTAGACGTCCATGATGCTCATCATGTCATGTCTTTGCACAACGGTCACTATGCAAAATGGTTCGCGTAGAATAGTCCGTTTGTCCTGACAGCAACAGAAACTCGGTGACAAGTGGCAGAGCCGGACTTTGAAGCCGGGACTGCCCAAGATGTTTTTCGCTCAAAGCATGCAACTTCGACGTGGAGCTGTGCAACAAGGTCCATCCATCCATCCTCGAGATTAGTCGTCCAGCCCCTGTGAGATAGGTGGTGTACGATAGGTTGTGTGAGCTGAGTGGCGTAAGATGAGTAGTGTAAGATAGGTTGGGCCACGCGTGGCTGAGCGCAGGTTTCGTGGCAGGGCCAGCGCTTGGTGAACCTGGCGGGCAGATTTTGTGGCGTGGCTGAGCGCAGACTTCGTGGCAGGCGCAGGACTTGGTGAGCCTGGAGTGGTTTTGTGGCAGGCGCAGTACTTGGTGAGCCTCGAGTGCAGATTTTGTGGCAGGTGCAGTACATAGAGCCTCCTGGATCAGCTGCGGCGCACGTGGGCGCCGCTGGGCCGCGCGTGGCTTAGTGCAGATTTCGTGGCAGGCGCAGCATTTGGTGAACCTGGAGCGCAGATTTCGTGGCAGGCGCAGTGCGCAGAGCCTCCTGGATCAGCTGCGGCGCGCGTGGGCGCCGCGGAGCCACGCGTGGCTGAGCGCAGATTTTGTTGCAGGCGCAGCGCTTGGTGAACTTGGCGTGCAGATTTTGTGGCAGGCGCAAGACTTGGTGAGCCTGGAGCGCAGATTTTGTGGCAGGCGCAGTACATAGAGCCTCCTGGATCAGCTGCGGCGCACGTGGGCGCCGCTGGGTCGCGCGTGGCTTAGTGCAGATTTCGTGGCAGTTGCAGCACTTGGTGAACCTGGAGCGCAGATTTCGTGGCAGGCGCAGTACTTGGTGAGCCTGGAGTGCAGATTTTGTGGCAGGCGCAGTACACACCACTCATCTCACATCACTCATCTCACACCACTCATCTTACACTGCCCATTTCACACCACTCAGCTTAAACCACTCAGCATACTCGTCTCACACAACTCATCTTACACCATTCTTCTCACACCACTCATCTCACACCACTTTACACCACTCATCTTACACCACTCATCTTACAGTACTCATCTCACACCACTCAGCTTACACCACTCAGCTTACACCACTATCTTACACCCCTCATCTTACACCACTCATCTTACACCACTCAGCTTTCGCCACTGATCTCACACCACTCGTCTTACACCACTCATCTCACACCACTCAGCTTACACCACTCATCTTACACCACCTCCTCTTACACCACTCATCTCACACACCGCTCGTCTTACACCACTCAGCATTCACCACTCGTCTCACACCACTCATCCTACACCACTCATCACACACCACTCATCTTACACCACTCATCACACACCACTCATCACACACCACCCATCACACACCACTCATCTCACACCACTCATCTCAAGCCACTCACGCTACACCACTGATCACACACCACTCATCTCACACCACTCATCACACACCGCTCATCTTACACCACTCATCACACACCACTCAACACACACGCACACCACTCATCTTACACCACTCATCACACACCACTCGTCACACACCACTCATCTCATTCACATCGTCCAGTATTTTTCTGTCCTTCTGCAACAAACGTATCTCAACTCTTCAGGTTTTAATTGCCTCTCCAACGTGTCGATTCTTGTCTCAACGGATTGTCTTTATACGTCGCCAGAATCCCCAACACAAGAAGTAATACAGTGATACGAATCTTTTGGCACGAAAGGGGACAAATTGGTACCAGGTGGTTTGTCAGAACCATATGTCAGCCTAGCCAGAACTGGCTTCCTGTTTCTTTTTTTGGATTTGATGACCTGTGAGTTGAAGGGAGGTAGGCGTTGGGGCATGACTCAAACAACAAAATTCAATACACTCTGAGCAATGGCCTTGCGACCATAACGCAGCAATGCAACGAGATGTCATCGGTAGCGGACTACACACTGGCATTGGTTGTAAGGACGCTCTACTGTCAATACACGCACGCAACAATATTTGCGCAGCGACGAAAGGAAATGTCACTGGTTGCATTGCTTTGCAGACAGCAATACAACGTGTCATTGGCTGTAACGGTGATGGTATCTACATATGCAACCAGGTGTCATTGGTCGCGGGGCTGTTCATGCAATGACGAAACAAGATGAATTGATCGTATTGCTTCACGCAGGCAGCAATACAACATTACACCATGTCATTGCCTATAAAGGTAATGATGAAGTTTGCATGTCATAAGATGTCATAGGATCAACTGCATGTCCAAAGGTTTGTCCCAAAGTTGAGGCTGAAGCTGGAATGGCGGTGCAGAAGGGCACGGTTCAGCGGGCCAAAGCCAGCGGCATTGGGTCATTGAGCAACTCTCAAGGCGGAGAACTAAATCGTCGATGAACATGTTTTGGTTTGACCCGCCTTGACCCGGCTTTGGCAGGTCAATTCCAAGACAGCACTCCTTTTAATGGCGTTCACGGCGTTCCTGAAACCGTGGTCGTTGCTCAGGAATGGCAATCTTGGGCAGCGTTATCTATCAAAAGGCCGCCCTTCTAGCACAAACAGCGGAGACAGGGTCATAGGAGGAGTCTTTAGCCATGCGAGGTTCTGCCACCTGTGCATGTGATTGGCGCTGCCCACATCCAATGGCCAAAATTCTTGCGCACTGCTTTCAATGCAAACACCTCAGCCGTGCGAATGTGATGGGCTGCAAGCAGGGCTGATAGACTTTAAGCTGACACACTTCTTGTTGATTGTCATCCCCTTCCAACATTCACGACCTATCAGCCAAGGCTGGGGTGCCGGGATTCCTTCAAGATTTGGAGGCAGAGGCCGCGAAGACTACGGATGGACCTCGTGAAGGAGAATGGACGTGGGTGAAATTGTCACAGTTGCTTTCCTTCTCTTATCCTTCATTTCTTTTGAGAGTTTGCTCTATGCGAGTGATTGTGTGTGTGTGTGCGCGTGTGTGTTGCTTTGAGCTTTTAACTTTGCATATTTGCTTCTTTTGCACTTGTAGGAGAATGGGTTGCAGCCTTGTCAAGCATGGGGGCGGCGGAGCGGTTGGAGGCGATCCAACAAAGAGTCAAACGCTTGGCAGAAGACGTGGTGGGCGACGAGCTCTCAGCTGATGATCCACTTCTAGAGCCTGGAAACTTAGACGCCTTGTTCATCCTTTTTATTGAATCGAGAAATTGACACGCTTCGCGCAAGGTCAGGAATGGATTCCCTCTCTGGTGTGGAGTTCCGAAACAGGTTGCAGCAAGAGCGAGTCACTCAGAAATCGACCACGCAGTGAAGATGTGCCGCGTGAAATAGTTTCGCTGAGGTTTGGCGGCATCCGCTTGCCAAACTCAGCTGTGTTTGATTATCCCACAGACCCTGGGCTGCATCCAGGATGGATCCAACGTGCACGGTGACGGTGACGCGTATGTAATCACATGGATTTGTTTCTCTTCCGCAAGTACTTGCAGCTGTCATCGGAGGGCTCATGTGTGCGCGTGCCCCTTGAAGTCACAGGGATCCACTTGGATTGTACTGCTTGTGCTTTTCGTTTCTTAGCAGGGGGACTGGAGCCGATTTGCCTATCCAGTCCAACGAAGCTATGGCATTTCGGTGGATGAGTGGTCTGATCAACCACTTGTACCTGCACAATTTTTAACCTTTGGTCAAGGGCTATAATGCATCGGCAGTCACGCACGGCCCGCCGTCATCCTGTTCGACCCGTGATCATCGATTTGTTTCTTCCGCTTTGGGGCCCTTCTCCTTTTGAAGACCTCCAGGATCCGTTGGTTCTTACTTGTACTCTTAGGAATTGGTAACCTAGGCTGGTGTGTGGCAACCGCTTTCAGTTCCGTACGCAAAATCATAAGTGTGTCTGGCTTCATGCCAGCCCAGGGTGACCCTGTGGACCCGTTGAAAAGGTGCTTGTCGAACGTATCCCCTGCCCGGATCCAGAGCAGCTCGCAGCGAGCGTAGGTGGCCCAGGCCGAGAGTACCCAGATTTGTTGACCTATTGAATTCCAAGCTGGCTCACGCCTTTACGTGACCGTAGCGGTCTAAGCTGCCAGCCATTTTGGCACGGCGTACGTGGCCGCAGCGGCCGAAACTTGTTCAAGACTCGTTGGAGTCTGTCGTGAGCTTAGGTGCACACACAGCGCGCACATTTTAACTAGGCAGGTCTTCCTAGGTCTTTGTAATGAGGTCTGGGTTTATCGGTTCCCGTCCCCTTCATTTGGTTTCCCTTTTCATCCCTTTCCCCTTCACACACTTCTTTTTCTCTTCCTTTCTTTCATGTCTTTCTTTGCTTCATGTCCTGTCATCTCACCTCCTTCTTTCTCTTGCGCGCACATTGGTCCTGGCCTTATCTTTCTCTTGCGCGCACATTGGTCCTGGCCTTAGGCTGTACGCGCACATCTACTGTACATTTAGGTTTTAGGTCGCCCAGGTTCTGATAATGAGGTTTGGCTCATTTTTTGTCCCTGTGCATCTGGTTCCCTTTTCATTGCAACCACACACACCTTTGTCCCGTCTGTCCTCTCCTTCATGTCTTCATCCTCTTGTCCATGCTGCGCACGCAATGCACATTTGTTCGTCACTTAGTTCTGGCCTCCCCTCGGGGAGGCGTGTGTGTGTGTGTGTAACCCTTGGAATCATAGGGATCCTTTTGGATTTGTCCGGTTTGTTTTTTCGCTTTGTGTCACAGCAGGGGGGCAATGAACACTTTGGAAGGCATTGCCCAACGAAGACCCTTCCATCGTGTTGTGATATTCCTGAGGGACGCCTCGGGAACGTACCTGCCATTTTCCTTTTCCGAATGGCAAGAGGCAAAGCCGAGAACCTCACGACACGGTGTTGCTTAGGGATTTGGTTCACTTTCTGCAGATGCGCACGAGTCGCCGTCACCCTGTTCGACTCGCTCGCCGTCTTCGACCTTGAGCTTTTGGCCTCACTTCTTCTTACAGACCTCCAGGTTCTTTAGGACTTTCCTGGACCTTTCAGGATTTGGGTCTCTTAGGCTGGCGTGTGGCGCCGCTTTCAGTTCAGTACACCCTATCCTAAGTGTGTGCGCGCGCCCCTTGAAGTCAGAGGGATCCACTTGGATTGTACTGATTGTGCTTTTCGTTTCTTAGCAGGGGGTCTGGAGCCGATTTGCCTATCGAAGCTGTGGCATTTCGGTGGATGAGTGCTTTGATCAACCACTTGTACCTGCACAATTTTTAACCTTGGTCAAGGGCTAATGCATCGGCAGTCACGCACGGCCCGCCGTCATCCTGTTCGACCCGTGATCGTCGATTTGTTTCTTCCGCTTTGGGCCCCTTCTCCTTTTGAAGACCTCCAGGATCCGTTGGTTCTTACTTGTACTCTTAGGAAATGGTAACCTAGGCTGGCGTGTGGCAACCGCTTTCAGTTCCGTACGCAAAATCATAAGTGTGTGTGTGTGTGTCGTTAGTTCTGTGCAAAGCATTGATCATTGATCGTTTTCCATACCAATTCGATCAAACTTGCGTGGAACTTGCTGAGAGTGTTTGTCTATGTAATTCTGAGCAGGGTGTGATAAGGGTCTGTGGGAGTGCATTTTGCAATGGGACACACACTAGGGAAATGCCTACGGAACTGATCGCCCAAAGACCTGAAGAAGCCTGAAGGACAAGATTGCGTGGGTAAACAGGTAGTATGTAAGGCGGTTGGACCATCTTGAGGACACCAGAGTTTCAAACACCAAATTCAGTTGCGAAACCCATCGAAAGGCTGAAAGCTAAAGTGGTGCGTGACTGCCGAGTGCATGTCTGCCGACCTGAGAATCTCACCTAAGTAGCCTTTGTAACGCCACAACCAACGTCCAGAAAGCGTCCGCCGGATATCATCGCAGTACAAGAAGTGACTTCGTTGAGTGGCGACTCCAAAACTGTGCACCACCCCCTGCTGAAGGAAACACCTAAAAGCGCCCTTTGACTCCAAAGGTTTCACACACGCACAAAAGGTTTCAACGTACACAGGGAAGACAGGCGCAGACAAGACAGGTTCATTGTGTGAGTCTCTGCTGACCCTTCCAAGGTTGGATTCTTAGCCAACCTTGCCTACACCAAGTTACTAGTTGAAATTATACAGGCATATGCAGACCATACATACGACATGTTGCAAGCTTTGGTGGGAGGAGGAAGGTTTCTTGCCGAGAAAACATATAATATGAGGTATATGGAACAAATTCCAGGTGGAGGCAGGTGACAAGGCAGAGCACCTAGGCTTTGAGTATACATTGTGTTTTTCCCTTTAAGGTAGGCTCGCCTTGCTGCTTTCAAAGAACGTTTCTTTTTGTATCTTTTAGCATCTCGGACGCGTCTCATAGAGTGGCTCCTTTGTTGGGAGAAACTGTCCAGAAGGACCCTCACCTGTTTGCGCCCCAGCGTAGCGAAAAAATGAAAAAAGGTACGGTATAATAGCATCCGGATAGCGGCAAATTGGAGCCGGGTGGGGTTGTTAGGGACGCATTGATTGTGTCCCATGACCCGTAAACCTCCATCTTACAGCGTGGGAATTCCAATTGACCATAATCAACTTGGAAGCAGGGTTTGACACATTTTGCAGGGCGAGGTGTTAGGTAGTGTGTGGCCAGGATGGCAAAAGAAATTGTTCACTCCACGCAGGGCCATTCGCTAAAGTCACCAGAAGTCATGTCATACAGCACGAAGAAGGCTTAACAACCCAAGTAAACCCAAAATTGTTTGCAACATTTGCCATTAAAGATCGTTGCGAAGCTCCTAAAGGACGCAGGGTTGATCAGACGGTGCATCCATATCTCCGCCTGAGTTTTAAGTTTCTTTTTCACTTTGGTAGCATCACTGCCTTCTCACACACATAGACATACTGGTTCCACATGAAGCCGCAGACCAGCTTGTGAATTCTTGAGGGTTGCATGTTGTGTTACCACAACCTTGCCAGCTCACTTTGGTTCGGGATCCTCCTGAGGCGAATGCACTTGCTGGCTTTATTGCTCATCAGTTCGGTGATAAACCGCAGGAAGAAGCGGAACCACAACCTGTTTCCGAGGCATTTCAGCATTGTTTTTGAACCAGCCATATTGCACTCAAAGCCTTGTCAGGGAATTCCAGCAACGTCTTCAATTTTGGAGCGCTTGAACGACAGGCCTGTTAATAGTTTGAGGCGCCCCTTATTGCCCAAGATGGAAAGCCTGGCGACTGGCAGTGTGCGAGCGCAGCGAACGTCTCACGGTGCAGGACAACTGGTCAACCCATCTTCCTCGTGCCAGGTGCTGCCTTGCAGGCCCAGCTCAGCCCAGCTCTGTTGCGTTTCTTTCTCGCGCGTTGGGTCGGTTGGCGACTCTCAGCCTTTGAGGCGGCTGGTTTTCAAAACCTGGCAGCTCTCCTTCCAATGCCAGCTTTTGGCGTTTCGTGGCCAAGTTCTCCACGGGAGAGGTGGGATGCATTGGGTCGTTCTTTGTTTTGCAGTTTCCTGGTTTTGGTCTGGAGATAGAGATGGCGCTTTATAAAGACACTTTGAGGACACTTTGAGATCTTTGAAACTCTATATAAATTAATTAGCGGTGATTAGCAAGACAAAGAAAAGTCCTCACCATACTGTGGCAAGAACCCTTGTACCGACATGGTAAGTCTCAAAATCCTTGCCTTCCTATCTCTTGCAGAGGAAAACGTGTTTCCATACACCGAGATGAAAAATGAAATGTTGGGCTCTTGGGAGTTCTAGAAACAAAAAGCTACTGGCAACAAAAAGCTTTTTGGTATGTCTTTGATCGCTACTAGTAACAAGAAGCCTTTCAGT